CGGCGGCGCCCGGGGCCGGCGGCGGCGAGGGGGGAGAAGATGGCGGACGTGCTCAGCGTCCTGCGACAGTACAACATCCAGAAGAAGGAGATTGTGGTGAAGGGAGACGAAGTGATCTTCGGGGAGTTCTCCTGGCCCAAGAATGTGAAGACCAACTATGTAGTTTGGGGGTAAGTCCAGGCTGGAGATTGGCCTAGGGGGTAGAGTCGGGCGCCCCCAGGCGACCTCTTTCTTAACCCCTCCCCGTTTCCCCCGGGATGGGGGAAATCTGGGTGCTCTGGGAAAAAGTTTTCCTCCAGAAGTTGAATTTGTAGGGTGAGAAGGCAAGAGGCGGATCTGCGTCTGTAGCACTCCGTCCCTTAAAGTCTTTCAGAAGCCAGGGGGAAAGGTGGCATGGGAATTTGGCTTCAGCAGTTCATTTTTACCAGCGTGTATCCGGGGCCAGCGACGCTGGTGCAGTGTACCTGAATATAGGTGCACAAAGGAGCACATCGAGTGGTGCTGGAGACGTCTTTTTGTGTTTAATTTTGCTCTCTTCTGCCATGTGTTGTAACTGTCTCCCCTGGCCCTGGCACCTCCTGGTCAGTTTCTTCTCCTTTCCTAATGGGGAAGATGTTATTCCTTAAGAAGAGAGAAAGAACTAGATTTCCCGAAACCGGGACCGACCGGAGAGAGATTTGTTGGATTTGAAAGTTACCATAATTGTGTTAAGAAATGAAAGCTGGAGTTTCTCAGGCAAAAAAGTTACTGGTGGAATTGAGTGAGCTTTATGGGCCTAAGAAATTGATGTGTGTGCTTCTGGAAAATGCTTTTAAAAAGAAACGTTTTGAAATATTGATCCACGTGGACTTATGTGAATCATTCTGGAAAGCATCTAGAGATAGATTTAATAATCATTTAGGGCCTTATTAATAATGCCATTGTCATAGGTGATTTGTTTGAATAGTTAGAACCTGGGGCCAGAACTTTGCTACTTATTTTGTTTTAATGAATGGAATGAGGTTTGTGAACAATTGATGAAAAACTACGATATTTTAGTGTTTTTTTTATCTTATAAAACTTAATCTGCTTTATGAAATGTTGATTAAATGACATTTTAGGTTTCCCATGTTTTTCTCTTTCAAAGAAATCACATAGAATTATATTGGATTGAATTTGTAATGTATGTTTTTCTTTAAAAATTGGTTAGAGTACTCAAGGTGTAGGGTGGTTTGATCTAAGAAATAGAAGAATTCCTAAGATCCTGCCTCAAAACAGATTAACAGTCTGAATGAAGAGCTAAAACAGATGATGTGATATGTTTTCAAGCGTATAAGAAGAGAACAGTTATTTCTAGTTGGGGCTATTTGGGGAAGGTTCCGAAAAAGTATGTTTGACATGTTTGCATCCTACAGAGTTTTCTTTCTTTTTTTTTCGGACCAGGGATCGAACTCGGGTCCTTGTGCTTCTACAGAGTTTTCTTGAATAAATGAAAAAGCGTTGAGAGTGGCTAAGAATTCTGTTACTGAAATGGTGAATTAGTCTTCCAAGTTGAGGGAACTGTGTACCTGAAGGCAGGGAAGCTGGAAAGAACATACTTTGACAGCAGTTCATTTTAGCCAATGAAAAAAGGAATGCTTAGAATAAATTGCAAATTTTTTCAACTGTGAGTCACATTGAGGGGTATTTTCACTTGGAGCGTGTGCATGAATAACTGTACGTATATACAACATTAATACTTACTGTGTGTATTGTGTGTATAGCATTCTATTACTTTTCTTTTTCTTTTTGGTATATTGTGAGTAAAAACCTGGCTTGTATGTAGTTTTTTTTTTTTTGGTACCGGGCATCGAACTTGGGAACTTGCGCTTGCAAGGCAGTCAGCAGAAACACTGAGCTATATTCCCGGCCTGTAGTTTGTTTTGAATCAGGGTGTTGCTGTGTAATTCAGGCTGTCCTTGTTCTCACTATGTAGTACAGACTAGCTTCAAATTGGCAGTAATCCTCCAGCCTTAGCCTCTCAAGTGATGGTATTCTTTTTTTGGACAGGATCTTGTTATGTAGTTCAGACTGGCTTTGAATTCACTATGTAGCCCAGGCTGGTTTAGAACTCGGTGATCCTCCTGCCTCAGCCTCCAGAGTGCTGGAATTACTGGTATACTCCATCATGCCTATACAAGTGCTTAGATTGTAGGCGTGTGCCATCGCACTCTACAAACCTACAATAGTTGTATTGAATTTCTTTTTACGGCACTTGATGTGATTTGTGGTTTTAAATACATTGATTTAAGGGGAAAATGGTAATAGAGGCTAGAAGAGTAGATTTGGGGCTCATTACAGGTATTCACATAAATTCAAATAATGCATCGGAATTATGGTGAGTATTTGCAGGGGGAAGGATGGGATTGCACACTAAGTAACCTGTGCTTGCCTTAGAGAGTTTGTACTCCTTAGGCTACATTGTTTTATTAAATGTAGTATTATGTTTCCTTTTGGCCTCCTTGATTAATTAGAGGGATTTTATAAGAATCATAACTCTGGCTGGGCATAATGGCACACCCCTGTAATTCCAGCACTTGGGGAAGCTGACACAGGAGGATCACAAGTTTGAGACCAGTCTAAGCAGTTTAGTGACTCCCTGTGCCAAAAAGAAAAATAAAAAGCAAAACAAGGGATTGAAGATGTGGCTCAATGCAAACATCCTGAGTTCAGTCCCCTCTATTGGCTTCTAAAAGTCATTGTGTTCACTTCTAAGAATTCTGTTAACGATGTTCAGTGGTATTGTCTGTTAGAAAGAATCACAGGGTAAACTTTCTCTAATTCAGTAATGATGGTAACTGTATTTATCCTAAGCAGATTGATTGTTTTACAGATTTCTTCCATCTGTAACTGGTTAGGTTTCTTCCTTAATTGAAAAAGCCCAGAGCCTAATTTGGGCCTAATTCTAAAAAGTGTATAGATTACTTTAGAGTATGAATTTGTGTGCTTTTCCTCCTTCTTGCATTTTTGCTGTTATTTTCCTTTGTTTTCTTTTTTGCTGTAATGACAGCCCACCTGATATTAGATTTTTATCCTTTATGCACATATTAAGTACGTTTTTGGATAGCCCAGTGGATATAGGTAGGTGAATACATCTAACTAAACACAAACAATTGAATTCAAAGTGTGAATAATATCTTGCCTCTCTTATTTCAGTACTGGAAAAGAAGGGCAGCCCAGAGAGTACTACACATTGGATTCCATCTTATTTCTGCTTAATAATGTGCACCTTTCTCATCCTGTTTATGTTCGACGTGCAGCTGTAAGTGGAACTCATTTTAATTTTTAAAATATTTCATTGGTTCTACTTGACATGGATAACTTCTCTCAAGGTTTTAAAATGTATGAATGTCTCATGGAGGGTCAAAATTATGCTACTCTGTGACTTATACAAATTTTAAACTCTGTTTATAACAGTGTAATCCCCCCTTTAAATTTTGAGTCAGGGTCAAGTTGGCCTTGAATTTAAGATCCTCCTGCCTCAGCCTCCCAAGTAGCTGGGAATACTCACATATTACCGCCGTGCTTAGCTACAGTGGAAGTTTTAAAGGCACTTATAAAGATCTTTTTTTAAAAAATACAAGGCTGTGAATGGAGTCTTTGTTTTTTTAGAACTCTGAATCTCAAGAAAATTTTCTTTTTGTCATAAGCGATATCTATACAGTACATACCTTTTTAGAATTAACTAATCTAACAGTTATATATATTCATTGCATCTTGATTTGTTTTCATTTTGCCTGCTTTGTCAATATTTGAAAATTTACTGCTCACGGTGAGATTCTTCTGTCTGTAGAGAAACAATATATTATAATTCAGTAAATAGGCTTCAGGGTTTTTTGGGTGTCATCATCATTTTACATTGTAATTTACCATAAATGCCCAGATAAAATGTCCCTAAAGGTTGATGATGTTTAATTTTTAAAATGACACCCTCAATTTCTTTTTTGTAGAGCTGGACATAAAAATTTTGGGGGGAGATAATGAAATAATCAAATATCTAATTTTGGTAATTTTTGTTTAACTCACTTGTTTATTGAGCTATACTGTAAATACTTTTTCTTATAGTTTTTTTAAAGTTTTTTTCAAAATTTTCACAAACATCACTGTGTCTGTTGTCACTAGTTATTTTTTTATCTAGTACTGTGGCTCAGTTGAACTAAGGTGTCTGAAAATCACTTTTATAGACTTTCTAGTCAAGGTTGCCAGCTTATTTGAGGCGTCTTTTAAATAGTGTCGCTGAAAGCATTTGAGAAAGTATCTCACCTTCTAATGGGCTTTGTAATATTCCATGTAGACTAGTTTAAAACAACCTGCAAGCACACACATAAAAACAACTTTTGGGCTTTTAAACTTATAAGAAGAAGCCAAACTTAGGCTTGAGTTTTTTAAAAAAATGAAATGATTAATTTTTAAGAGATTAAATATAATTCAGTTATCTTGGCATGGCAGTGCACACCTCTAATCCCAGCACTGTGGGAAGCTGAAGCTGGAGAAATCCTGAAAGTTTGAGCCCAGCCTGGGCAGCTTAGCAACTTGGTGGAACCCTGTTTCAAAGTAAAAAGTAGGTGGGGATGTAGCTCAGTGCAGAGGCCCTGGGTTTAATCCCTAGTTCCTTCAAAAAAAGAAACGCGCGCATGCACACACACACGCGCACACACACACACACACACACACACACACACATTTGTACATACATAGAGAGAAAAAAGACACACAGATACAGTTCAAGGAGGTCATCAAGGAGTAAGTGTAGAATGTTGGCTTAGGGAAATGTAATCAGTATTTATGATGAAATAATTGACCAATGATAGGGTTCTTACTGTTGCTCATATAAGATAACAAAGGATTTGAACTGTATAATCCCTTGGCTACCAGTTTTCCTTGTACTCTGTTTGCCTTAGAAAAAATGACATGGAAAATTGTAATAATGACAGAATTTGTTGAATTTCTTGTCTAAAATTTGATGTGGTACCCAAAGTATACAGTTTTGTTTTGTGCACAACTTTACAACTTGCTAATGTAGATAATTAAAGGGAAATTACCTATTTCCCTGAAATGGATGTTTTTTCAGATTTAATTTTTTTAATCTTTCCCCCCTGCTTACAGAGTTTATACACAGTTGGATAAAAAGAAATATGTAATATAAAAGGTAAACAGTTGCCATTAACATTTTCATGTCTGTAATTTTTCTCTTGCCTAAACAATGTACCATGTACCTGTTGTTAATTACCAAATTTAGTTTTAGAGGCTACTTCAGTTTCTTTGGTAAAGTTCAAGTGGAATATTTTGAAAAGGGCTTATTTGTGTGAAAGAAATTACTGTGGAGGCATCACATAAAGTGGGACAGCAATAGGACTGAAAAAGTATGGGTATCACTTTTGCAGAGCATCATGAGTGTAATTAAAAAGTTATGAAAAGGAATAGAATCATTGCTTTCTTTCTAATAATTATCTTTAATATATCTTACTGTAATTTCAAAAATAAAATTACATAACATGTTAGCTGAAAAAATTTTTAAGCCTAACATATTTTACAAATGTGAATTTTATGTACATGTTACCCAGATATGTTGTAATAAATTCAGATTATGTGTTTATCAAGTTTAACATAGTTGTCACCCGTTTAATATCTACTATTTTTCTTTTTTAAAAAATTTTGGCTTCAGACTGAAAATATTATTGTGGTCAGAAGACCTGACCGGAAAGACCTACTAGGATATCTCAACGGTGAAGCCTGTGAGTACTTTCTACATTGCGCTCACTCTACTCACTTTGTAACCCAGGCTGACTTTGAATTCAAGATCCTCCCTCCCCAGTATCCCAGGTGGTAGAATTACAGGTGTGTGCCGCCATCCTGGCCCACTGTTAAATAGTCATTGTTTTATGTTTTTGTTTTGCTTTTTTTATTTTAACTACAAAATGAAAAGCAGGAAGAGAATTTATATTCCCACTAAAAATTTACCTGATCTACAGCTGTGTCCATATGTTCTTTTTTTCTAGATACGTGAATGCCCTGTCTGTACCTAAGGCTCTTCAGCCTTTATGTGGTTTTCACACTTTCAAAGACTTTGCCTCCTTACATTGCTGTTTCTGTCTTGTCTCATCAGTCTTCTTCCTGCTTCTGCATTATTATCTTTTAGAGTATATACAGTAAGATATTTCATCTTTGAAAAATGCTTTTGATTCCACATTCCTGATGTCTACTGTTCCATTTGTCTTCTGCATTCTGCTATTATTACAAAATTCTTTGCAAGACTTGGTGTGGTATTATTACTGCTTCTTTTTGCCTATGATTCTTGAAGCTTCTTCTAGTCTGATTTTCATCCTCATTATCCTATTAAAATTACTCTTTTTAAGGTCAACAGTAATTTAAGGATTATTGCATTCTTTGGTCTCTCACCTTCCCTGCCTTGTCAACAATATTAGCTGCTGTTGACCACTCTCATTTGAAAGCCTTTCTTCGCATCACTCTGGGCTCTCATCTCTCATAATCTACCTCCCAGTATATTTTTTGTTACTTCTGTGCCTGATCTATAATTCTAGAAGTTCTCTGTAACTTGACTTTTCTTTTTACTCTTCTAACCTAAATCTGTAAGTTATCCTTTCTAGTTTTATGCTTTAAGTATCACATATATTCTGATGAATTAAAAATATGGTTAATCCTTGAACAAATGGGTTTGATCTGTTATGTCCACTAATAAGTAGATTGTTTTTATTTGGAAATTTGTCACAGTTTGAAAAACTGACAGATGAACTGCATTGCCTACAAATACTGAAAAAAATTAAGAAAAAGATACATCACGAGTGCATAAAATATATGTAAACTGTTGTATTAGCACCATAAGATAAGCACATGTCTATTTCAGAAAGTTTAAAATTTATCAAAACTTTAATAAAATTTTTTTTTGGTACTGGGGATTGAATTTAGGACCTTGCGCTTGTGAGGCAGGTCCTGAGCTAAATCCCCAGACCAAAATTTATCAAAACTTACACAGCATTAATAGTGCTATTCACAGTTGAAAGAAAACTAAAGATGCAGCATTAGATTATAACTCCATGCCGGGTGTGGTGGTGCACTCTTGTTAATCCCAGCACTCGCGAAACTCGGATAGGAGGATTGCTGTCAGTTTGAGACGAGACTGGGCTATATAGTGAGTTCTAGTCAGTCTCAACTACATAGTGAGACCCTGTCTCAAAAAACCTTAAAAAAAAAATTGTAGCTCCATAAAATTAACCGTGGTCTGTAGTAATTTCATAGCTACCTCCTGTTGCTATTGTGGTGAGCTCAAGGGTTGCAGATATCTGTTTAAAGCGCTGTTCAACTTGGGAAGGTAATCAGTGCATAACCTTGTGTTGATTAAGGGCCAGTTTGTGTTTATGCTTTCTTCTTAAGTTCCATGTTAATAAATTCACTATCATCATTTTTGTTTGGATCTTAATAGTTACCTGAAATTTAACATAAACAAAATAGAATGCCCAGTTTACTACCCCCCCCACACAACAAAAACATTGTGTCTTTTCTTTTCATCTTAGTAATGAGTAGTGGTACTCTGCCATTGGTTAGGCATTCTCACATCTCACATCCATTCCATGAGCAGGTGCTTTCCTTTATTTTTAAAACTATTACAACTTTTTTTACCTTTCTATTGTGAACTGTTCTATACTTCCTCTTTATACTATTATATAGCCTCCTGTCAGGTTCCAGCTCTTTATTTAATATGATGTAGTCTGTGCTTAGCAGTTAAGACTGACTGTTTTTGAAAAGGCATGTCAATTTAACTGTGTTACTCTTGTGTTCAGGGTGATTTGTGCCTTCCTATCACTTAGATTAAAGCTTATGCTGACCTCCATAATCTTGCTTCTGCCTAAATCTTTGGCACCTCATCTTCTATCAACTGTCCTTTGCTCACATCAGCCTCATTGATCTTTTAGCAATTCTAATCTTGGAACCTCTACAGTTGTTAATCTGTCTGATATTGCTCCTTTACTTTGTCACCAGACTTATTTCTTTACTGTCTTACTCAGATCTGTACTCAAGTGTTGTTTCAAATACTCTATTAGAGAAAACTTCTCTGACCACTCTACCTAAATTATAAAATAAATTGGTGTTCATTGGCACATGCCTGTAATCCCAGCTCTTCGGGAGGTAGGAGGATTGCAGGTGTGTGGCTAGTTTAGGGAACTTAGCGAGACCCTGTCTCAAAATTTAGAAAAAGGAAAGGGGAGAGGCTGGAGGTGTGGCTCAGTTAATCGAGTGGTTGTCCTAGTATGTGTTCTAGGTGCTAGGGTCAGTTCCCAGCACTACAAACAAACAAACAAATAAAAAAACCAAGAAAATATCTTATCTGTCTATATAGATATCTATACCTATATAGATGTACTGTATTTCTCATTCCTTTCCTTTGTTCCCTCCTCCTGTCTGTATAGTACCATCCTGACTTATTTTTCATTAAATCTCATGCATTCACCAGAAGTTTTGTATTTATTTACTTACATATTATCTCTCTTCTCCACTAGAGGGTAAATCTTTGTCTTATTTATTGTTACCCCCCCACACACACATTTAGAACTGTGGTACATAGTAGGTCCTTAACTGGAGAAATGAATAACTATTAATTTGCTGTTTTACAGAGTACAAATACCTAAATTGGTATAATAGAACTATTTGGTCTTACCTTCCCTGGAGTGGAATTTATTCTGGTTATGTCATTAATATCTGTGTTGTCACATTCTGCTCTGTGGTTCTAAGCAGTGAGATTGATTTACGTAGGAAATTTGGTGCATAATAAGTCATTATCAGGAGAGTTTTCTTCTTGTGCTACCTTCATTCAGCAATTGCTTATTGCATGCTTATTCTTACAGGCATTATTTTGGGTGTTGTACAAACTACAACATCCCCATCCTACACATGCTTATTCTTAGGAAAAGATTAAGGAGAGATGCCAATTCTGCAAAGGGTATGAAATTGGGAAGGACAGGAGAAGGCTATTATTTTATTTATTTTTTGAATCAGAGCAAATCTAATTATTTGGAGCACCATTTCCTCAGCTTTGAAAATGTGAGGACTATATGGTAGACTTGTTAAAAATAAATTTTGTTTGTTTAACTTCAAAAGATCTGGTGTAGGGTCTAGGATTCTTTAGTCTTAAGCACCTTAACTGAGCCAGCCTGATAGGCTAATTTTGGGAGGAGTGCTTTAGAGTTTTTTTTTTTTTCCTTTTCAGATTCCAAAAAAGAGTCGTTTTTTATCTATCCATACCATTTTCTGTAGTTTGTATAGGATTAGTAAATTTAATCAAGCATATTGCTTTGGTAATTTGTAAAAGTTGTTTAATGAAAAAACTGGAACAGATATTAACCTGTTTTTAGATGTGTCCTGATAGCGTAACCACATTGGCCTTTAACCCAATCGATATGTTTAACATGATCTCAGTATAAAGACAATTTTTCTTGTGAACTAGAAATAGACAAGGTAAATTTAAAGTTCATTTGATAAGCATAATACTTTAGAAGAGCGATGAGGAAAGACTAATTTTTCTAAAGTTTAGAATTTAAAGCTCTGATAATTCGAAAACTTTATCTGTCAAATTAGAATTACACATGTGAATTAAACCTATGAGAAAAAGAGACATGTCAAATCATTGGGAGAAAGGTGGGATTATTCAGTTAAAAATTGAGTAAAAGTATAAGAAACAAATACTACCTGACAAACTGGGAAAAAAATATTCAACTCGTAAGAAAAGGGCCAGTCTCACTGATACAAAATGATCCTGGAAATGTATGCAGAAAGACCAAAGACATGATAAATTACAGTCATACAGTTCACAGAAAAGATGACCATCATATGTAAATATGCATTTCATTTATAATTTACACATTTAAACAATATAGAAAACATTTTTTAAAAACCTGTCAGTTTGATAATACGAAGAAACATTCTGTATTGTTGATTATAGTGTCAGTTGGTACAACCCTTACTGGAAAAATCGACAGTCTTGTATCATTATAAATATGGCTCAGAAATTGCTCATGTGGAAGTTTATCCCAGAGGTACATTTGAAAACGTATGAAGGGATATACATATAAATTTCATTTTTATTACATTCTTTGTAATGACAAGAAGACTTAAAATTAAGCTGCTCATCAGTGGGAAACTAGTTAAAGTATAATCTACAAAATAGCATATGTCATAATTATAAAGAAAGAGTGAAGGAAATGATCCATGTACTAATGTGGAGGGATATGGTAAATAATAAGGTAAGGTAAGAAAGAAAGCAAAGGGATTGAGAATGTCATATTAGTATGCTACTTTTTATGTTTAAAAAAAGTAAAAATAAGAGTATAATTGCATTTATTGTATCTAGAGAAACTTTTAGAAGGATATACAGGACACTTGTTTACACAGCATGGTAGAAATTAGGTGGATGGTGACAGACACACCCCTTTTTAATAGTTTTGAACAAAAATTGAATAATTTAAATGATAATTGAATTTTTTAATCATTTGTGAATAATTAAAAGTTGCATTTTTCATATGAACGTTAACTTGAAAATGTGCCCTTACATCTATCTATCTATATATATATATATATTCATATGTATATACTTATCTTTTTTGAAAGATACTTTTATATATGCATGTGTTGTGTTGGATTAGTCTTTGAAGTGACCCGTTAATTTCAGTCATTTTCTCTCAGTAATTTGTAAGCTAAATTGTCAAAAATAGTCTTCTTATAGACTTTCTAATAGAATCTTTTAATAAAATTACAGAACTGCTTTAAAACTTATTTTTTTACTAAAGAAATCTTACCGAAGTAAAAATATAACAAAGCTGGAGCATTTTAATTGTGATAATATATGATATATGTGTTTAGCTATTGATTGATTTGCTTATATGAATCTTTTCAAATTTTCAGCAACATCAGCAAGTATAGACAGAAGTGCCCCCCTAGAAATAGGTCTTCAGCGATCCACTCAAGGTATGCCTTGTTATGTGTTTATTTTGAACATTCAGAAACTCACTCCAAAACTGTATATTGATTTATTCCTCTTTTTCTTACAGTCAAACGAGCTGCAGATGAAGTTTTAGCAGAAGCTAAGAAACCACGAATTGAGGTAATAAAGCTTTTCTGCCTGCCTGCTCTTGCTATCTCTCTCTCTCTGTCTCTCTCTCTCTCTCTCTCTCTCTCTCCCTTTGTAAAAGGAAAAGTTGATTAATAATAAGTAGCTTGAGCTATAGTGTTAGCTCTCATATACATAGGCTTTGGCAAACCATTTTATATTTAATTGAATATTGGTGAAAATTGGTAGTTGTGTGAAATGAAAGCCACATAAGAAATGCAGTTATCAGCTGGGTGTGGTGGCACATACTGGTAATCCCAGCACTTGGGATTGAGAGGAGAACTCAAAGTTTTTGACCAAATGCATATAGGCAGTTCATGGTCAGCCTGGATTATGTAGTGAGACACTGTCTCAACAAAAAAATTAGTTGTCTTTGGAGATCCACTGGGCAACATGATGGTTCTTGTTAGTAACAGTGTATTCTGTTGTAGAATTGCTCACAAAATTGGTAATACATAAATTATTTTACTGAGCCCTGTATCAGTGTGTACATATTTTAAAAGAATAGTCATAATACATAATTTTGGTCACTTAAAGAAATGCAGTGACCTTTGGAAAGAAAATTTGTTTATTAGCTGGTAGACTAAGGTAGTAAACCTTAGAAATTTTAATTCCATGATTATGGTATTACTTATGTAAGTTGATAACAAGACCTGTATTAGTTATATATACATAGTCTCCCCTGAAAATGAAAGCATACTTAAAATCTGACAAATTATGAAACTAGTCACATATCAATTAATAGTAAGGAAATAACACTTGTCTTCATCACTAGTATTACTAACCATGCTAGAAACTTTTAAAAAATTTCAGACTAATCTCAAAATCAAATAGTTATACGTGGATACTTTTTCTGTGCATATAAACAGCAAAGCATCTGCAATTAAGGATAAGAAAGATAATTCTTGAAGGGGTGAGGTTAGTTGGCAATTACGTATGGTGGACTCTGACAAAAATGCTGCAATAATTAAGTACATTCAGAGATGTGAACTTGAAACTTTTTAAGTGATGATAAATGGCTCATTGTTATTGCTGTGTACTAGATGATAGTCTGTGTGTATTAACTCTTGTAATAGTCATCAATCACAAGTTCTTGAAATTCGTAATACTAGGCTTAGCATCTGTGAGTAAACAGAGGCTCCATAAAAAAAGAAATTACTTGAGAGCCAAATTAGAACCAAGGAAACATGGCTCCTAGCCATTTCACTGTATAGAGCACCAATTTTTGAGGCAGTAAAACCAGAATGTTCACCAGTTCTCCCTTTATGAAAGGAGATTGTGGCACACACTGTTGACAAAGTGAATGAATTTAGGGATACTATTTATTTAGAAAAATATAAACATCACAGTCTGATTTTTTTTTTAATTCAGTGTGTTAGGCTAAACTGTTAAGATTCTAGTAACTTGAAAAATAATTAGGAGGTAGCAGTAAAATTCTTTGCAGATCATTTATAGAGGTACAGGGAATTATATAAACAATTATATTACCCAGCCAGTTTGGTTTCAGCATACATATATTGAGGGACCAAAAGGCACTATCCAGGAAAAGGAAACCTTGATGGCAGGATTTTTGATTTGATAAAAATGTAGACTTGTATTGTCTTTAAAATTAGCAATTCCTTAAGGAACTTGAGTATCACACCTTTGTTACAAATGGAAAAAATTTAATATATTTGCTCAAGTATTCTTCTGAAGCTCAAATATTCAGCTGAAGAATCTGTTTCAGGAATTTTAAATGCTAGATTGTTGTTAGGGTGTGAGTTGGAGCCCAATATCTTTTTGAATATCTTGAGTATGCTGCTGCTTTTTATATAGTTTAATATTTTATTAGCCATTAACACTGACTGGTCCTGTTTTTATTTGTTGAACACGGGCATTGAACTAGATCAGAGTTACAGAGTTTTGTTTTTAAGCAGCCACACATCTTTCAAACTAAGTTTTACTTGCCATCCAATTATAAATAAGTGGGCCAGGGATTTAGCTCAGTGATTCTGGCGCCTGCCTTGCAAGTGCAAGGACCTGAGTTTGATCCCCGGTACCCCCCAAAAAAAACCAAACCCAAAACAATTATTAATAAGTAATACAGATGAAAGTTAAGGTTTCAGGTTGATTATCACATAAGATTTTGAAGTAATGAAGGGTTTATTTTATTTGTAATGTTCTAAGGAATGTGCTTTCAAAGTCATTAAAATTTTCCTTTCCAGTGTTGTTGGATTTAGGACCTGTAACAATAGATGCAAAAAAATATAGAGTCACTAAGAAAGGTTTGACTCTGATGAATGCATCCCATAGAATTTAATTAATAAGCTTTCCCAAAGAGAAAAGTTTTACTGTATGATAACCTTTTTTGAATACAGATATGCGCGCGCGCACGCGTGTGTGTGTGTGTGTGTGTGTGTGTGTGTGTGTGTGTGTGTGTATTGAGGAGAACAACATCACTGTAGAAATAAATACTAGGCAAGCTTTTACATGGTCCTGGGTAATTTTTATACTGTTTGTTGTTGCAAAAGAAATATACATGTATTTGGAGGAGATGTATAACTTTCTGTACAGTATTCAAAAATTTATAAGAGATGTCCAACATTATAGAAAGGGATTTATGTTAATATTTTACCCACCTGTGGGTTAATGTATGTGTTCTCAGCACAATAAATTAAGCTAGGCTGGGTTATTGTATTTGGCAGGTTAGGTGTGTTAAACACAGTTTTGGCTTACGATATTTTTAGTTTATGATGATTTTATCAGATTGTTGTTCTATCACAAATTGAGGAGTATCTGTAGTTAGTTCCAATCTTAAATGACCTGATATATACTTACTATTCTTATCTTTGTGTAACTAAAAATGTTAATGTTGACCTAAGTATAATAATGTTTGGTACGATATATTGGTAGGAATTTTGATGAGAAGTTATGTGTAGTTATTTTTCTTTCTAAAATGTTAAATAAATTTAAAAAATTATAAGGTATTCACCGACTAGTAATTATTTCCAGGATGAAGAGTGTGTGCGCCTCGATAAAGAGAGATTGGCTGCCCGCTTGGAGGGTCATAAGGAAGGAATTGTACAGACTGAACAGATTAGGTAAGAATTTTTCTTACAGTAGAAAGTAGATGTGTGTGTGTGTGTGTGTGCGTGTGTGTGTGTGTGTGTTTTATTTATATATATGTATATATATGTATAAAATATAGGTATATGTACATGTTTATGAGAAATGGATTATTAAAATCCTACCTACATTTATATTTACCTTTCATTTATTATGTGCTTAGGTTCACTAAATTCAAAGGAATCTAGTTGCCCTTTAGCATCTGAGGAGGATAAGATTTCATAAATTCACAGATGTTCAAGTCCTTTATGTAAAATGGTATGGTGTTTGCATATAACCTATCCACATCTTCCTTTTATGTTAAATCGTCTCTACATTTCTTTTATCTATCTATAAATATTATATAATAGTTATTACATTTCATTGTTTGGGGAGTACTGAAAAATCTGTACGTGTTCAGTATAGACACATTTTGTTCTAATGTTAGTTCTAATGCTGATCTCTTGGAGGGCTAGCTGTATGTGTGGGCATTTGCTGTGATAGGGGAGATTGGAAGCCATTATACTTATTTTGTATTTTAGAAAGCCACCTTCTTGATTATGTTACCACATTTGTCTTTCTCTTTAAAAATTACTTCATAATCCAAACCACTCATTTTATCAATGTAACCTCTTGATTTGTAGCAGACGTCAGCAAACTTTTTCTGGAATGTGTGACATATAGTTAACTCTCTTTATTCTTTGGTCCTACATTTGTGGATTCAATCTTAAGTTGAAAATATTTGGAAAACATTAGGTCTGTATTGAAAAGTATGACTTTTTCTTTCTTGTCCTTATTCCTAAATAATGCAGTATAACACCTTATAACATTTGTGTCATGTCACGTGTTACAAGTAGAGACGATTGAAAGTATGTGGGATGATGTGAGCAGGATATATGTAACTACTGTACCATTTTATATAAGGAACTTGAGCATCTGTGGATTTTGGTATCTTTAGGGAGTCCTAGAAATAATCTTCTGCAGTACTGAGGGACAGATGTATCACTATTTTGACTTTGCAGGTAATGTGGTTTCTTTGGAACTACTTAACTCTTTTTGTGGTGGGGAAAGACGCCATAAATGACACGTAGATGCATGGGTAGGACTGGTCCTAATGATCCTAATTTGATGACCCCTGAATTTTAATATAATTAAACACATTTCATAATATTTTCCTTGGTGCACTGTGATCTTTGTGAAAGTTGCACTGCAGATTTTTGTGAGTCTGTGTCTAGTGCTGGGGGGTGAACCCAGGGCTTTGTGTATGTTAGGGAAGTTCTCAACCAATGAGCTATATTATATACCAGCCCCAATGCAGATTTTTAAAAACTTTATTGAGGCATAGTTGACATAATAAACTTTGCATATTTAAAGCATACAAATTTATAAATATTCACCTATGTTTTTATATTATTTGAACCCATTATTATAGTCAAGAAATGAACATAATATCACCCCTCCCCGCAATTTCTTGGATTGTTTTTTAATCCCTCCCCTATTCAAGCATTGTTTTTCCTAGGCAACCAGTGATCTGTTACTATAGATGCTTGTTTTTTCCATAGTTGTATATAAGTGAAATTGTTCAGTATCGTGTGCACGTGGTTTCTTTCAGTATAATTGTTTTGATATTCATTGTTTTGTTGGATGTATCAGTAATTCATTCCTTTTGTATGAATCCTCTTCCCTTGTGTGCATGGACCACAGTTTGTTTACCTAGTCACTTGTTAATAGACATTTTACTTATTACCAGTTTTTGGTTACATCTCAAACTGTCATGAACACTTCAGTGCACGATTTTGCATGATTTTGCATGGGCATATGACTAATAGCTCTCTGACTTTATTCTTCTGTTTGAAGGGTATTTTTGTTATTTTAGGTTCTTTATATTTTCATGTGAATTTTGAAATTAACTTGTCAGTTTCTATACAAAAGCTTGCTAAGATTTTGATTGGCATTGAATTAAATTTATAGATCAGTTTGGAGAGAATTGATGTCTTAGTAATATTGAATCTTTTCAATATTTCAATCTATTTCTCCATTAACTAATAGAGCGATGCTTAGTCCTTTAATTTCTCACAGCAGTGTTTTGTAATTTTAGTGTATAGGTGTCATACTTTTTTGCTTGTTAGTGGTATTTTTTTTTAAAAAATGAGAACTACGTTTGTATTTTATGTATTACTCTTTTATCCTGTGATCATTAAAAACACATTGATTAGTCTTTGCAAATTTTTTGTAACTTTCATTGTATTGCCTACATATATAACTATATATTCTGCACATAGTAACATCTTTCTAAACCTGATGCCTTTTAATTCTTTATTTAGTGGTTAGGTTCTCTAATGTTGACTAGAAGATGTGAGATTTTATATTCTTGTTTTTGTTTTTAGGGGAGAACATTCAGTCTTTAATGGTAAAGCATGATGGTAGCTTAGATATTTTTGTAGATTCTTTTTAGCAGGTTAAGGAAATTTTCTTTTTAGTTTGCTGAGAGGTTTTTAAAAAATTAATAAAAAAATGAATGTTGGATATTACTATATTTTTCCTAGTTTGTATTTTTATCAATCTGGTGGATTTTTGAAAGTTTACATTCCATAGATAAACTCTAATTTATCAGTTCTGTATTGTTGTATAAAAATTAATAAAAAACATAGCGGCTTAAAGAATATGCATTTATTATCTAAGAACTTCCGTGGGTCAGGGGCTTTGGCATCATGGCCTACGTAGTTACTCTGCTTCATAGGCTCTTGCAAAGCTACAATAGGTGTTGGCCAGGATTGTGATTTCACCCGTATCCTTTTTTTTGTTTTGTTTTGTTTTTTGGTACTGGAGATAAAACTCTTGACCTTGCAGGCAGTGGCACCACTGAGCTAGATCCCTGGCCCTCATCTGTATTCTTAATTAGGGAAGAAATGATTTGCTTCCCAGCTCACTGGTGTGTTACAGTTTTTTTCCTTGGTTTCTTTTTTATGAAATACATATTTTTTCCCTCTAGCTACTTTAAATTTTTTTTCTGTTGCTTTTTTGGGGGTGGGTTATACTGGGGATTGAACCGAGGACTTTTGCACTGACCTGCATCCCCAGAACTTAAAATTTTTTTTTAAATTTTGAGATGGGGGTCTCCAGAAGTTTCTCAGCCTGGATCCTCCCACCTCACGCTCCCGTAGTGCTGGGATTACAGGTGTATAATAGAACCACTCAGGTTCTCTTGTTTTTTCTGAGCCATTTAATTATGGAATAGCTTTGGGGAAGTTTACAGTTGTTTCTTTTTTTTTTTTTTTTTCATTAGCTTTAGAAAATTCCAGGGCATTGTTTCTACCTAATTTTTTTCTGATTCCTTGTTTATGGATGCTAGTGGCTCAAATTACACATGAAATTGTACAATAGGACACTTAGGTTCTATTTTTTCCTTGGATTTTAAAATTTCTTTTTTACTTTTTTATTATAAATATTAACTCATGTTCATGGTAGAAATTAATGGCTTTCACTTCAATTTCCATATATATGTATAAATATTTGTATAAATATTTGTATTTATATATATATGTATAAATATTTGTATATTTGTAAATATTTGTGTATATGTATGTATGTGTGTGTGTGTGTGTGTGTGTGTGTATATATATGTATGTATATATTAAGCTTTAATCATATCTGCTCTCCCTACTTCCTTCTATTTCCCTTCCCTCTCTCCTTTTTCCTGGTTGTCCTCTCTCCCTTCCCTAGTAGTCTTATTCTACTTTCAGATTATTGTTTTCATTTTTCTTTTTCAATTTTGATATATGAAAGAGAACATGTATTGTTTGTCTTTCTGTGTCTGGTTATATTTTGTTTACTGCAGTGACCTGCAGTTTTATCCATTTTCCTGCAATGACAAGATTTCATCTTTATGGCTGAATAATACTCCACTGTGTATATTTAACATATTTCATCATACAATCGTCTGTTGACTGTCACCTAGGCTGTTTTGAGTAGTACTGCAATAAAGTTATGCAGGTATCTCTTTTGTAAGGTTACTTCATTTTATGTATACCTAGATATGGTGTCTGTTCAGATCATTTGCCCATTAATTGCTTTGGACTACTTTATCTTTTGTTAAAACTTTTTTTGAGTTCTTTATATATTCTAGATATTAATCCTCAGGTGAATATTTGGCAAAGATTTTCTTCACTCTGTTCATTGATTGCTGTGCAGAAGCTTTTTAAGTTTTTTTTGAGACAGGATCTCACTATGTAGCTCAGGCTGACCTCGAACTCACAGCAGTCCTCCTGTTTCAATCTCTTGTGTGCTGGGATTACAAGTGCGTGTGACCACGCTCAGTGAAGCTTTTTAATTTGTTTGTAATTTAATTTGTAATCTCATTTGTCAATTCTTGCTTTTATTTCTTAAGCTATTGGAGTTCTATTCAGTAAATCATTGCCCTTGCCTATGGCTTGAAGAGTTTCCCTGATATTTTTCTCTAGTATTTTTACAGTTTCAGGTTTTACATTAAGGCCTTTGATCCTTAAAAGATGAGAGGTAGGGATCTAATTCCTTACCACTGTGTATGGCTATACATTTTTCCCAGCACCTCATATTTTAAAGAGGTTTTTTTTACAGTGTATGTTTTTGACACCCATGTCACGAACCAAATGGCTATAGATGCATGGGTTTATTTTCAGGTCCTCTATACTATTGTTCTACAATGTTTGGTGATTTTCGTTTTTGTCTTCTCCCTCCCTGCCCAGTTCTAGGGATTGAACACAGAATGCTGAGCTATATCCTCAGCCCTCTTTATTTTTTATTTTGAGACAAAGTCTTGCTAAATTACTCAGGCTGGCCTTGAACTTGTATCTCAGCCTTCTGAGTAGCTGGGATTACAGGCAGACACCACTATGCCTAGTTGCATGTCTGTTTTTTGCCAGTGCCATGCTGTTTTGGGGAATAGAATATATTTTCAAATCAAATATTGTGATGCCTCCAGCATTATTGATTTTGCTCAGGATTGCTTTGGCTATTTGGGGTCTTGTGTGTTTATAAATCTTAGAATTGGCTTTTCTAGATCTGTGGAAAAGGTGATTGCTGTTTTGTAGTGAATCCATAGATTGCTTTCAATAATATGGTTATTTTAATGATATTCTCCAAGTCCATTAGCATGGGAGGTCTTCCCATCTTTTTAGTGTCTTCAGTTTCTTTCTTCAGTGTTGTGTAATTTTCATTGTAGAAGTCCTTTGCCTCCTTGGTTAGATTATTGGTAGGTATTTTCTTTTGCTTTCTGGCCATTGTGAATGGATTGTTTTCATGTTTCTTTTTAGCAGGTTCACTATTGGTGTATAGAGAAGTTACTGATTTTTATTTTTACTTGTTTTTGGTGGTACTGAGGATTGAACCTAGATCTTCAGACATGCTCGACAAGACTTCTACCACCAAGCTACATCTCAGCAAAGCTACTGATTTTTATTTATGTATTGATTTTATAGCCTACTGCTTTGTTGAACTTTTTTGTATTTTTTGTCTATTGGGAGAATTTTTAGGGTTTCTGAGTATATAGTCATACCATCTGCATACCACTTTCTTATTGTGTATTCCTTTTAGTTTTTTCTCTTACCTGATTGCTCCAACTAAAATTTTAATAATAGTGATGAGAGTGTATACCTTTGCTTTGTTCCTAATATTAGAGGAAATACCCTCAGATTTTTTTCATTCAATATAATTGTTTTTTGTTTTTTGTTTTTTGGTAGCAGGGGTTGAACTCAGGACCTTGTGCCTGGAAGGCAGGTGCAGTGTCCCTGAGCTAAGTCCCCAGCCCTCCAAGTATATTGGCTTTGGAGATCATATATCTATATCTATATCTATATCTATATCTCCACTCTTAATTATGTTGAGGTGTGATCCTTCTATACATAGGTTCCTGAGGGCTTTTATGATGAAAGGATATTGAATTTTATCAGAGGCCCTTTCTGTATTTTTTGAGATGACCATGTGATTTTTATTACTGATGATATTTATGTGCTGTGTCACATTTATTGATTTGCATATTTTGCAAACATCTTTGCATTCCTGGAATGAAACCAAATTGATTGTGTTATGTGATCTTTTTTTTCTTTTTTTTGTGATACTGGGGATCGAACTCGGATCCTTATGCTTGCGAGGCCGCTGAGCTAAATCCCCGGCCTGTATGTGATCTTTTTAATGAGATGCTAAATTCAAATTGCAAGTATCTTGTTGAAGATTTTTTTTTTTTTTTTGGTATTGGGGATCAAACTCAGGCCCTTGGACTTGCAAAATAGGCGGTGGACCACTAAGTCAAATCCCCAGTGCTTGTTGAAGATTTTTGCATCTTTATTCATCAAGTGTATTGATCTATAGTTATCTTTATATGTTGGTACAGTTTTAGAAGCAATTAAAACAGACTTTGTAGAATGAGATTGGAAGGGTTCCCTTCCTATTTTATGGACTAGTTTGAGGAGCAGTGATATTCTTTAAAGAAAGGTCTGGTAGAATTCAGTAGTTGAATCTGTCTGTTCCTATGATTTTGTTTGTTGGGAGACCTTTTTATTAGTGTGTCAGTGTCTTTGCTTGTTATTTATCTATTTAGTTTTCTTGTTTCAATTTTGGTTGGTCAGAAATTGAAATTCATTCAGAAATTAAGCCATTTCTTCTATCACTTTATTGGTATATAATTTTTCAAAATATTCCCTAATGATCCTGTAGATATCGGTAGTATCTGTTATAGTAGCCTCTGTTTTTTTTTTTTTTTAATCTAACTTTACTAATTTGGTTCTCCTTTTTTCTAAGGATTTGTCAATTTTGTTTATTTTTTGATCTAACTGATTGATACTGTCTCTTTCATTTATTTTTGCCTTGATTTTTAAAATTTCTTATATTCTGTTGATTTTAGATGTGGTTTATTTTTGTGTAAGGCCTTGAGATGCATCATTAGGTTGAGATGGCTCTTATTTTTCTAATGAAGAGGCTTAAAGAGGTATGAACTTCAATCTTATGATTGCTTTTGCTGTGTCCCATAGGTTCTGGTATGTTGTGTTTCCATTTTGATTTTATTCCAGGAATTTTTTTTTTTTTTTTTGTTCCGGGGATTGAACTTGGGACCTTGCACTTGCGAGGCAGGCGGAAGAGCCACTGAACTAAATCCCTGGCCTATTCTAGGAATTTTTAACCCCCAACACGCTCTTCAGTGACCTACTATTCAAAAATGTATTGTTCAGTCTCTGTATTTGTGTAATTTCTGTAGTTCACCTTCTGTTGATTTCCATATTATGATCTGATGAGATCCAGAGAATTATTTCACATTTTTTGATATTTGTTAATATTTGCTTTGTGGTCTTAGGTATGATCTATTTTTAGGGAAAGTTCCATGAACTGATATTTTCTGCAGCTATTGGGTTGAATATTCTGTAGATGTCTGTTAAATCCATTTGATTTATAGTTTAATCTAATTATAATGATTTTTTTTTTTTGGTCTAGATCATTTGTCTATTGGTGAATGTAGAGTATCAAAATCACCCACTTATATTGGGATTTATTTCTCCTTTTACATCTGTTTCATAAAATTATGTGTTCCAATGTTTGATATGTACATATTTACAATTGTATCCTCCTGATAACTTCACCAGTATGTAGTAATTCTATCTCTTCTGCTTTTAGCTTGAAGTATGTTTTGTCAGATATGAGTGTATCTGCACCTGCTTGTTTTTATATTCTCGTTGCTTAGAATATAATTTTTTATCTTTTTCTCTTTCGGGTCATGTATCTTTGTCATTGAGGTGAATTTCTTGGCATTAATCCATTGAATTAGTATTTATCTTCTAATGACCATTAGAAAAATTAATGACCATTTACATGTAGAGTTAGTATAGAAAGGTATCTACTTACTCCTGTCTTTTTTTTTTTTTTTTCCTCGTTGTTTGGAATAATCCACTTTCATTTCTTTCTCCGTTACTCATCTTAGATATTATGGCTTAACTGAATTAATGATGTTTGATTCTTTCTGAATCCTCATTTGCTTGCCTATTCTTCTAGTGAGATTCTTTGCTGTTGTTTTATGACTGTTTTGTTTTGGTATCTCTTTGTGTAGAGATACTGTAGTGTCTTCTGTAATGCTGGTTTAAAAGTAATAAGGGCTGGGATTTAGCTCAATGGTTCTGCCTCTTGCGTCATAAGCGCAAGGACCTGAGTTTGATTTCAGATACAAAAAAAATAAAAAGTAATGATTCCTTTAATTGATGCTTATCTTAGAAGGTCTTTAATTATCTTTTGATTCTGAAGGATAACTTTGCTGGGTATAAAGTTTGACAGTTATTTTTTATTTCATGGCTTGAAATACATTCACTTCTCTCTTGAAGAGTTTCTGCTAAGAAACTCTTACTCTGATGGATTTGTGTTTTGTGAGTGACTTAATGCTTTTCTTTTACAGCTTTTAATATTCTCTCTATTTTTGATGGTTTAGCTATAATATGAAACGGAGTAATTGTTTTCTGATAATGTGAACTTGGGGTTTAAAATGCTTCCTGTACATGGATTTCCATATCTTTCCTGAGATCTGGGAAATTTTATGCTCTTATTCACTGAATAAATTTTCTGTACCTTTAGCCTATACATCTGTACTAATTATTTGTAAATTTTTTCTTTTAATGGTGTCTAATAAACTTTTGTTTCATGTATTTTGACTAGTCATTTCAAAGCAGGAAGGTTAATTCAGGTACTGCTATTACATGTTGGGTAGAAATAAAACTCCAGTGATTGAAACTCCACTGCAAGCTTGATTATAGAGATACGCTGTGTGCTTTAAATTTTAGGGTAATGTATAGTATTAAAGTGAGTCAAATGCCAGATACATCATAAGCATCTGCCCTAAAATATGTTCATATCTACTCTATATAAAATTAGCATATTATATAGTACTACTGTATTTAAACCAGCAGGAATTTTCATCCTTTTTCCAGATCTTGTGTAAGCATTTTTCAAAATTTTCATCTTATGACTAAAGTAATATTTTTGTCTATAGTAGCTAAGGTACTCAGCCACTTTTAAATTCTTTGTCTCATTTTACATTATAAAAAAAGAAACTATGCTTAAAATTACTATCTTATGAAGTCTGGACTTTTAGTGTTAAAAAGTCTCTTTGCTGATTTGTCTGTTAGATTATCAAAGGAATGATAAGGATATTTGTAAGACATGGTTTCATCTTCTAGAGATTGAAAAGATTATGCATATTTGTGGCATATAAAATCCTTTTTACAAAAAGGTAAAGGTAAGGTTTGAACTTTAGAGGATGTTTTTCACCCCCTTATCAGGTGACCTCTGTGTATATGTAATTTTTGTAGATGACAGAGTCTAGCTGGTGAAGTTTCAGAAAACATACATATTAATGATTCTAGTTCTTTTTGGAGAAAGAGATGAAAAATATGCAAAAAATTGTGTTGCATTGATTCTTCTAAGAAATTACTAATTCCACATAGATTATCTCTATATGAGCCCTGGTCTGTAAATAAGTTTTATGATTACAAAATATTAAATATGTCAGTTTAACATAAGAAAAGTTTAATTATTGCCACCAGGCACTTACAAATATAACACAATATATAATATTCTCAAAGATTCTTTGCTGTGAAAATATTTTTAAAAATTGCGTTTTAGGTCTTTGTCTGAAGCTATGTCAGTGGAAAAAATTGCTGCAATCAAAGCCAAAATTATGGCTAAGAAAAGATCTACTATCAAGACTGATTTAGATGATGATATAACTGCCCTTAAACAGAGAAGTTTCGTAGATGCTGAGGTAGATGTGACCCGAGACATTGTCAGCAGAGAGAGAGTGTGGAGGACACGAACAACTATCTTACAGAGCACAGGAAAGGTAATGAAAATGTTTTCTCATTCATAGAGCATGTGTATGTAATTTGTGTTTAGTTCTGAATTAAGTTTGCTATTACAAGGAAGATTTAGGTTTTGAAGGATCAGAATGATACAGATTTTCAAGTGGCCATGTTTATCATTCCATTGATAGATTTAGTTATTGGTCACCAAAGAAGTTGATAAAATCAGTCAATCAAAATGTAGGCCCTTCACACATCTTTTCTAAATCAGAGTGGCCCAGTTTTCTTGTTAAATCATATTTTTGTTTAAACTTGATGAATAGAGAATATTGATGACAGCAAGCTCTCTAGTCATCAGAGACTCATAACGTAGAGAAATTATAAAAATCAGCAAACTTTTGAGTACATTTTTTACATTATGTTTTCTTGTGCAAATGTAAGAATTTTTCTGTTCTTTATTACTGGAGATCTTTTGTTTTGTTTTTGCTCCACAGTAATGGGGTTTTTCTCCCTCACTTGTCCTGCTCCTCCTTTTTCTTCCCTTTCCTCTTCTATCATCCTCCTTTTCTTTCTCTTTCTTCTTCCATTTCATCCTTAGAAATAATGTATTAACGACATCTTTGTAGCTTTGTAGTACAGTGGTGCATGCTTGTAATCCCAGATACCCAAGAGACAGAGGCTGGATGATTTTAAGTTTGAAGCCAATGTGAGCAACTTAGTGAGAGCCTGTCTCAAAATAAAAAATAAAACAGGGCTGGAGATGTAGCTTAGTTGTAGAGCACCTCTGGGTTCAATATCCAGTGCAGCAGCAGCAGCAGCAGCAGCAGCAGAAGCAGCAAAAAATCGTTTACAAATACCTTACTGAATTTATGTCTATACAGTCAAAGGATTAATTCTTTGGAACAAATTGTTAAAGGAGACATACACTTTAAATTTTTAAAAATAAAAATTTGAATGATGCTTGATGGATTACTGTTTTATAGATTGTTAAAAAAGTGTACATCAATTTTCTTTTCTTCTGTTTGCAATTCTAGGAATTGAGCCAGTGCCTTGCAAATGCTAGACAGGTGGTTTCCCACTGAGGTTGCTCTCCAGCCCTGGATTCTATTTCGTGTACACATTTTCATGTGTGTTTGTATTGTACCCTTTTGTACTCCAGTGTTCTCTGGTTGCTAATAGTGATGTGGTGCAAACTTTGAGAAAGTGTAAATTACTGGTGAAACTGAAACAGACTTTAACGTTTTTTTGTTTTGAATTTTGACCATACTTGTATTATGCCTCTCAGGAAAAAAGCTACTAGAAAAAAGTGTGTAAAGAAAAGAATTATTTCTGTTTCCTTTTGAATTGTTTCCACAAAGTACTCCACCCATCCCAATTTTAATTCTTATTGATATCATTAATCTTAGCTCTTGTTATGGTGGATAATGTTTCCATTAGTTGAGGTTATTAGGTTCCTGTATGCGGCATATTTTTGTTCTTATTTCCCCTCCCTGCTTTTTACCCCCCACCCATATTTCCTTGGTCCTCTTCCTATTGCAAGAGATTCATGTCCTTGTCCCTTTCTATCCATCCTTTGTTATTCTGTTTGTATTTTGCCCAAATGAGAGACAACACATGGTAATATTTAAGTTTGTCTGTCTGGTTTAATGCATTACTTCTGAGGATCATTTTCCAGAGCTAGGAGCTATAGAGAAATCTGAAAATAACTGAATTTCTATTTTCCAATTTTGCTGTTTGTACTAAAATGATCTGTTATACTAATTTTATTGTCTAATATGGCTAAGTAATGCTTGGATAATACTGTGTTATTGTTAAAAATTCATTATAATTATTGAGAAACCTTAAACTCTTGGAAAAGAAATAAAATAGATGTTATATGCTTTCTTATTTTTATATCAGACATTAAAATTTCAAGTAACTGAGGTGAACAATTTTATTTGAGCTCTAGGTGGCAGAATTGTATCATAATTTCAAAATTTAATGTAATGTTATACCATTTATCTTTTAAAAAATAGTTAATGATTTAAGAATTGTTTTATAACTACATTTGCCTCTACTGATATTAACATTTTAAAAAAATCAATAAGCAAATACCTTGATTGATAATCTCTAGATACTGTTTTCACTTGATAAATGGCAAAAAATATTTTTAGGTACTTAGAGCCTTATAGACCTTTAGACAGACTTTCATTATCACTTTTCAGGATTGTCTTGTTTTCTGAGTTTCAGAAAAAAGATTGAAGCTTCCTTGAGAAATATAAATATATTTTTTAATATATAGTTATTACAAACACTTCAGGTAAAATAATCTGTTTTATAATGCCTTTAAAACACATTTTTAAACATCTATAAATTGGTATATGTCTTATTTTGTTTTCTGTAACAGAATATTACACTGATTTGTAATGAAATGTACATGGTTCACAGTTCTGGAGGTGGGGAATTCAAGAGAGAATATTTCATGCAGTAAGGAGTAGTCAGCTAGTTGACTGTGTTGAATGTTGCTGAGGTTGTTTATGCAAGAATTTATCTTGAATTTATTTTAAATGCTTTGCAACTTTTCCAGTCATTGAAAAGTGCATATTGACTCCTGTGTCTTAAAACTTTTCAACTTCCTATATAATCCATAGCAATTTGAAGTTAATACTATGGTTCATTATATTTAAAGGAGGATACACTAGTTGATTCCTTTAGAAATTGGAAAGTCCTTTCAAAATTAGGGAGACTCTCGACGGTAAATATTGTGTTTTTTTGTTATTTAAAATATTAACTCTTTTTGGGTATATCTTTGAATAGATGCAGAATATGAATAGAGTTGTAGGTAATTAATGCTGTTTGAATAAAATGAAAATAATAAGATGATTAACACTGGGTTTTTGATAATTGGTTCCAGGGTTTTTTTAGTAATACTGAGTTTTTACTTATGTGTATAATTGCATTAGTCTGTTTTCTGTTGTTGTTTTGAGGTACTGAAGTACTTGATAAAGAAAGAGGTTTAGGGTTGGGAATGTAATTCAGTTGTAGAGCACTTGCCTAGCATGAATTGAGGCCCAGGGTTTGATCCCCAGTGCTTGGGGAGATGAATGGAGAAGTAAAGGGTTTTATTTAGATCAATTTTGGAAGGCTGAAAGTCTAAGATATGGCAGTCTCGTCTGTTAGCCTCTGATTAGGTCCTCTTGTCTAGATTGCAATATAGTGGAAAATGAGGGAATTGGTTGCTTATAGGGATCAGTTGTATGGGGTAATCTTGTGTAATACCAGCCTACTCTCCAGAGAACTAACTCTTCAAAATCAACATTGTCCGGAAGACTTATTTACTTCCCATTATGCCCATCTTTTATAGTTTTTACCGCTGTAGCATCACCATATGCTAAGGAACAAGGTTCTAACATATGAAATCTTGGAGGACAAATCACATCATACAGAGCTAGTAGTACTATATTATATAGTAGAGAAGAATTGATAGGAAGAAAACTTGGTTAAAAATTATTTATTACATTAACATTGCCTTCGTACATTTGATTTTAAGTGGGCTTAATTAGAATCTGTTTATGTTTTAGAATTTTTCCAAGAATATTTTTGCAATTCTTCAGTCTGTAAAAGCTAGAGAAGAAGGGCGTGCTCCTGAACAGCGACCAGCTCCAAATGCAGCACCTGTGGTAAGAATGTTTTACAATTTAGACTTAGTAAATTTAACAAAAGTGCCATAAATAATATGTGTGGTATTTGACTCTTGCAATTTGAAGACCTCTAGTTTTTACATTAGTAGGTTCTGAAGCTTTTGTTGCTTCATTGTATCTGAAGGATGCGAAGATTCTCTCCAGCCTTAAAGGTTATTTGAAGACTAATTCTGAAAGTCTTATGACCCAGGAGATAAGGTTGGGTCACAGTGTCATGGGGAAAAGCCCTCTCTGTAAATGCCCTACTTGTTAAAAATGTAAGTCCCTGTTACATTCTCATTTTTTTTTAATTGTTGCTATCTGTGATATCTTATTAAGTATATTTTCCCTGATGATCCCTTCATGTCACCTTTTCATTGTACTTAAGTTCTGAGGGTTGACTATTTCACTGTTTGAGTGCAGTGCACCACCCCTAAAACTAAATTTCATTTGCGACATATAGCCTTTATGCAGACATATCCTATGATTTTTTTCCCCCCGTGGTATAGGAGATTGCAGGGAGTGCCGCCCTCCCCCGGCCCTTTTTTATTTTGAGGAAGGCTTATCCTGAGTTGCCCAGACTAGCCTCAGACTTGAGTATCTCTTGCCTTAGCCTCTTGAGTAGCTGGAATTATAGGAGTGTGGTTCTACGTCTGGCTTACCCACTACTTCCATCTATTTTCATGATTCTATAAAGGAAGAAGAAAATACAAGTAAAATTGAATCTATTCTAGTACAATTTTAAAAAGTGTCAAGATGTGATAGAGCACTAATATAGCCTTTGTAAGCTACAGTAGTTTTATTTGTTCACGAAATCATTGGTATTTACCTTTTAGAGATAGTGAGATTTTGCTGATATTTGGACAAATTCACTAAGTTGACTTACCAGCAAGTATTCATGTACCTACTATTTGTCAGACAATGTGTTGATTATAATACAGTAATTAGAATACAATAATAGAAAGATCCTCTTTTTGAGCTTGTAATACAGTAAATTAGACTTGCTAGGTATAAAAAAAATAGTGACAGTGAGGTAAGTGCTGTAGTTTTAAAAGCAGCGGGTGCTTATATCTATGAATTGGTAGGCTTTTCTAATGGTTGGAAGCATTTCAAACCTTAGAATAGTTAAACCATTACTTTTGTGACTATAATTATTTCTTCTGTGTGTTTACATTATAGTTAATATAGTTGAAAATATTGATGTTTAGCTCTTGACTATGAATATATACCTAGTAACAATTTTGATAAGTCTCTCTTTTATTTGGAATAGTACTTAGAGTGGAATCATACTGTAACAAAATTGGGAGTACTTTAGTCTTCATGTGTATCAACAACTGCCCAAGCAGCTTTGGGATTTTTTAAAAGATATCTGCTGCTGCTAGGTTATTATAGACTGTGAATATTGGAATCAAGTATTTGTGAATTAAATTATTGACAGCTGTTTCTAATTACTTCGGATACACCTATTTAGTCCTATACTATACATTTATAATGAGCTTATTGTCATATTCGCCATATTTATTTAATTTAAATTAAATAATAATTTAATCATTTAAATTTAATTTAAATTTAATAATTTAAATTAAATTAATAATTTGGTGGATAATTCAGTTAACAGTCTCAAAAATGTTTTATTTTTGTTGTTAGAAGATCATCATTCGGCTGGGGTTTTAGCTCAGTGGCACCACTCCTGCCTTGCAAGTGCAAAGTCCTGAGTTTGATCCCTGGTACCAATAAAGATTCATAATTGGAGGAAGAGTATTATTTCACAGACATTTAAGTAGCCATAATGAAATTGCTAACTGTTCTATTTGTGCAGTTTTCAAGACTTGCTTTTTGCCTTGATGTGTAATAATAACTGTAATGATAATACAATAATATAATAATCTCACAAATGATTTTGGTCATCCAGTGACTAGAAATCTACTCACCACTTTGCTGTAGTAAGAAAAAAAAATAGAGTAAATATCTCTTGTAGCTTTAATTATGAATATTACATAGATAATTAAAATATTAATTAGCTCATAATTTGTTTTTCTACAGGATCCCACATTGCGTACTAAACAGCCTATTCCAGCTGCCTACAATAGATATGACCAGGAAAGATTCAAAGGAAAAGAAGGCAAGAGTTTTTTAATTTTTATGATTATCTTGGTGTGGTCATGCTGACCTCGAGAGGCAATATAGTCAAATGTTTAAGGGTTTTTAAAATAAAGTCTTCAGGCCAAATTTGACTCATTGCATGTTTTATAAGTAAAACTTTTTTTGGAACACAGCCACCCTTATGTGTTACCTATGACTGCTTTAGCTCTGTGACAGTCCCACTGAGTTGTTTTGCCAGAGATCATACACCTATAAAACCAAACTATATTATCTGACCCTTCAAAGAAAAAAATTGGCTAACCCCTGGTTAATAGTTTGAATTTTGGATCCAAATCCATTTTGTCACTTAAATTTTGTGTGAATTTTAGTATTACTTTAAATGCATTCTTCCAGGCATGGCACATACCTGTAATCCCTGCACTTGGGAGGCTGAGGATTGCTGTGAGTTTGAGGCCAGCCTAGGCTACATGGAAAAAAAAAAGCATTTTGTTTGAGTTTTTCTCCTGTCTATAATTTTAATAGTAATAGACCTCTTAGGGTTATTGTGAGATTTAAATTAGATAATAAACCTAAAGTCAGTAGAATAGTGTGTGGTATGTAATAAAACTGTCAACAGATGTTTGCTATTAGTAGATGTGTGTCTACATAATTTATTTTAGAATGGAGATTTTATATATTACCTCTTGCTTCTCAGATTATAAATGTATATATTGAGAATTTAGAAAACAGACTTGGAGCAGTAGTATGAGGGCTTATTTTGTGGTGTTGTGGCTGATGAAATCGTAAACCATTTCTACATTAGTGAAGTAGGACTAATGTCATTTCCTGTTGAAATCTTTGTCTTGACTACATTTATAAAAATATAAGGTAGAACAATTAAAAATTTAACGTTTACTTTTTTCCTGCATTATTTTATACATTACGTTAGTACAGTGAATTTTGTATGCTGATTTCATTTACTGGATAAAAGGACACTAAATAGATGCCAGAGTAAGATAGCGATCCATTCCTTTATTCAGTACAATGTTTTCCTTATGAAATAGACTGTATAAAGCAGCACACAGACCACATCCAGTCTTTGGGCCAAATCCAGCTGTCCTGTTTGTATACATACTATATATTGTTTATCTTGTTTTTGTGTCACAGCTGCAAAATTTAGTAGTTATGACAGAGATCCTTTGGCCTTCAATGAGTAAAGTATTTTTTACTCAATTCTTTACAGGAAAGCATATTGGGACTGTGTTCTGAAACTCCCATCATCATTTACAACATTGTTTTGTACAAAATATTTAACATATCATAGATTGCAAGTTTGGGACACAGCTTTTTACAAGGAGTTTTCTCAGATGCTTTTAGTGATGCTATGATCAAGTATTTAGTAATAAATAATTTAGGGGCTACAAAATATTTTATTCAGTCTTTTTTTTTTTTTTTTTTGGTACCGGGGATCGAACTCGGGTCCTTGCACTTGCGAGGCAGGCAGCAGAACCACTTTTAGTGTTTTTTTTTTTTTTTTTGGTACCGGGGATCGAACTCGGGTCCTTGCACTTGCGAGGCAGGCAGCAGAACCACTGAGCTAAATCCCCGGCCCTATTCAGTCTAAATTTTGAACTTAATTGCAGAGTTAGTCTTAACTAGCTTCTGTTCATAGGCTTACTGGTGTGTTTTGAATATATTTTTGAGAATGGTGTCTTTTTAAAAGTTTTTAATCTTCAGAAGTTTGTAATTCAACTATATATAGTAAATTTAAGGCTTTGCTATACTGTTTAACTTTCACATATAATATAGATTATTACTTTAAATTTCTTGTCTATCTAAAAATACATAATATCTAACAGTAAACCTTCCCTTTTTTTGTAGAGACGGAAGGCTTTAAAATTGATACTATGGGAACTTACCATGGTATGACACTGAAGTCTGTAACGGTAAGTTATTTGACCGTAGTGGTTAGTTTGTTCGAGACATTTTATGTGAGTAGTGGAGTTTGAAGAAAACTTCTGGTGTTTCATATTTACCGATTGAAACATTTATCTTTAATGACCAGTTGTGCTGTTAGATATATGAGGTGCATTATATAATTCTTGAACTCTTCCCTACTCTTCTAGCTCACTTTCTTTCTCCCTCCCTTCCTGTTTCTTTTTCAAACTGAGGCTGAGAGAATGTGTAAATAAACATTAAAAGCTGTTTAGATTAACTAGGACAATGCTATCTGGCTAAAAGATGTTAAAGAGTTAAAAGATTGTTTAGGGAAAGTTTTGCTGTAATAGTTTATGTTCTTTATAATACTTATCCTCTTTAAAGAGAGATTGTAGTGAATTGTTATCAAGCTTACAAAGTTGATACTTGCTGGATATGGTGGTGTTTGCTGTAATTTTCAGGACTCTGTGAGGCTGAAGCACCAAGATTCCAAGTTCAAACACATACTGGGCAATTTAGTGACTTAGCAAAACCCATCTTAAAATAGAAAATAAAAAGAGAGCTGAAGATACAGTTCAGTGTGAAAGGTCAGGGATCAGTTTCCAGTACTAAAACAAACAAAAATTCCTGCTTATTAGAACTAAATACTCTATGCCTTTGTTTCACTTTTAAGAAGCTTTCTTTTTCTTTTTGTTTTTTCCCCTTTGCCTTTCCTTTTCATTTTTCTTTTATGAGACAGGATATTGCTTTGTTGCCCAGGCTGAATTCAAACACTTGGGCTCAAGCAGTCCTTCTGTCTCTGCCTCCTCTGTAATTGAACGACAGGTGTGTGCTGTGCTCAGCTTATTTATTTTTTAACTCACTAGAAGTGGTTATTTCTAGATGTTCTGATCAAAACATATTTCATACTTTTCATTTTTAGCCAGTGATGTAGAGCAGGAATTCTGTTTTCATTTTGCATATTCATTTTCTGGGACATTTACCTTTCATACTTTAAAAAGTATGAATTAATTGGAACGGCTGTTTCTTTGAAACACTAATACCAAGTTTCTTTCGTTTTTGCTTCGAACTGTCAGATCTGTAAGGATTCCATATGACAGAAAATCGGTATATTTGTGGTGATTTCTCAGAATTAAGATCCATCGTTTTTTTTTTTTTTGGTACCGAGGATTGAACTTGGGACCTTATGCTTGCGAGGCAGGTGCTGGAACCACTGGGCTAAATCCCCAGCCCAAAATACATCTTCATATATAGAATTTGCCAGGCCTTACAAATTTCCTAAAGCAGACCCCAGTAAATGTATAGAATGTGACTGAAGTTAGAATTTTTGTTTCTTTTTCTAGGCTTCAAATTGGGACTAGATAGTGGATATTTTTATAATATATTTTATTAGTGGCACCCAAGGCCTTGAGCGTGTTAGGCACTTGCTGGAGTGCTAAGATAGTTTCCCAGCTCTTTTTATTTTATTTTGAGAGAGGGTCATGCTAAGTTGCCTAAGATGTCCTCAAACTTGGTGATCCTCCTAGCATAAGCTTCCATAGTAGCTAGGATTACAAGCATGCCACACACTATGCTTGTTTTAAAATTGTCATCAGATTGTTTTGTATTTTATTGAAATTGTAGGTAGATTGTTTAATTCATTCAATAAATACTTATTTTGCATTTGTGTCAGACCATGTTCTAGTGGCTGGGCATATAGCTGATGATAGAGTAGTCAGAGGCTTCTTTGAAGAGGTGATAGTTTAGCTGAAACCTTGCAGATGATCATTCCCTGTAAGGAAGGTTAGGGGTTAATACCCAGGCTCAGTTTGCAAAATCAAAAAGGCCAGTGTCTCCAGCTAAGTGATGAGGTAGAAAGTGGTAATAAATTTGATTTATGCATTTTGTGACATTTGCTTGATTTTTTCTGGTTTCATAATTTAAGTTACATTCTTAGGTCATTTTCTTAGGGACAGAATTTGGCTAGTGAATTGTTGGGGTAACTGAATTTTTTATCCTTATTGTTACTGTTTTTACTCTCCTCTTTCCCGTATCTCTGAAATGCCATAACATTTGTCTCTTTATGTGAACTGCTATGAAAAAAATCAATGATAGTTTTTATAGTGGTACTTCATATAGAGTAATTTTCTAAAATGCAAGGATAGCTTCTTAATTGATAAGAGTTCTGCTTCATTGGACTGTTTCTACATGGACTTAAAAGTGGTGAACTTAAATTTGTGCTATATTTTAAAGAATATAAAATGTTGTTTAGGAATTAATAGAACTAAAAATGGTCAGATTGCCAGTAATTTTATTTTGGTACCAATTTTGAATCTGCTTGTATCCTGATTTCATTTAGTGGTGGTTAGGACTACATAGAGAAGTTTGAACATGAAAGTTTTGAATTTTTCAGATAATTCTTTTTAGATGAGCCTCAAACTTAGGCTTCCAGTGTAATGTTTTTTTCTCTCTCTTTTCTGTTTTGAGTGATTACTGTTTGTGAGTTGGTGAGCTGTACCAGCTTTTACTTATGCTCCAGTTAAGAAAGTTTTTCGTTTACTATCCAAAGCTTTTGTTGCCCATATGTGACTTCTTTTCGCAACCATTGTTCTTCAAATTTTGATGTGGTTAGTGGTTATACAAAGTTACTAAAATTAGGATCAATATACTTTAGAATTAATTACCTTTTAAGTTCAACCTCAGACTTCTTTAGATGTAACATTGAATCAATAAATTGATAATTTTTATACAGTGGGGTTTTCTGTGTGCTAGAGAAAATATGTGTTTTGGTAATCATATTCCATGAGTCATAAATTACTGAAAATTTGTTATGAAAATAGAGGTCCAGGCAGGGTGCTTTGGTAATGTAAAAATAATTTATTGACATTTCTTATAGGAATAGAAATTTTAATATCTTTTAAATTTACAATATGCATAGTTGAATTTTTTTTTTTTTTTTTTTTTTTTTTTCTTTGTAAAATTTTTCTAAGGTAGGTTCTAGCTGTGTTGCCCTGACTGGCCTTAATCTTCTAGCTCAGTGATGTCAAGCCCTTTGGAGCTTTAAGTGATAACAAACAGCCCACTGCACCATGCGTGCTATAGGTTTGCCACCATTGTTCTAGCTCATCTTGTCTCAGCCTCTTAAGTAGTTAGGACTATAGACATGTGCTGCCATGCTGGTTTCTTGTTGAGTTGCTAGAGAGCTTTTCACAGTTGGGCGCTTTCCTAAAAAATGTGCTATTGGGTTCTGTAGTGTATAGAAACACTGAACAGATTTTGTGGTATAGGAACCTAAATTGGAAGGGAAGAGTATATACACTTTATCAAGCTTGTTGAGTTTTAGAGCTTGCCCCTTCCTTCCTTCTTTCTGGAAGTACTCTTAGGACTGACCTAATTACTGTTAAGTAAAGCCTAGAGTTATGGGTTGGAAGTAAAAATCACTCATTGGAGAAAATACATATATATTTTCATGGATTTCTTTTGTGAAAGGGCCATCATAGACTAAGAAAATGTGGCTTGACCGTGCTTTTTTTTTTTTTTTTTTTTTTTTAGTGTGGTTTTACTCTGCCCCTTCTCCT